CATATTCGCCGTAATTTTCTACGATCAGCTATAATCAATGAGATATTTCGCTTATCATTATTGCGCATTTTCCTTTCGAAAACGTTTTCGAGTCTTTTGCAATGTCTTTTTCTCTAATTATAAGGGTGTATGAAACACGATACTGCAAACTGTTCTTTCAGTGACCTGTAAATCAGTAAACTTCACATCACCATCTTCTCGTTCTATAAATTCGTGAAATGGTTCTTCTATTGTATCTCTTAGTAAAACTGGTGACATATTTATCTCGCAGATTTTGTCTTTTTCTTTTCTTCTGCTTATTTTTTCTTTATTAGCCTATTACAATTAGCTTTTGTTGTGATCATCTCTCTCTCTTGTATAGACATGCGTTGTATATCTGATAGAGACACACTGAAGATTTGACTTAATTTAGCACATATGATCACCGAGAATAACAGTAAAGTTGCTTCTTCAATTTATCATTACAACTCTGTCATAACTGACGAAGCACTGAAAAAATGGCAAAATTTAGTAGGAAGAAATCGTGGGCTTTAGGTTTTTGTGCATGAAACCTGAAACTTTGAGAATTTAAAGCTCATAATTAGATATGAATATGATAAAAATCTCAGTCTTCTACCTACGTCGATTATTTCGACCGTCTGAAACAGCGCGATTACTGCCCTAAATGATGACAACCGGCGCCGTTTAATGTCCGCTTCAATGAGTAACGATGAATAGTATCTCAGGTCCAGATTCTCTATGTATAATATCTTATTTACACCGTTGTTTTTCTCGTTCACGACTCTATTTATCTGCAGCTTTAGGAGGGACATTACGACAGTTGTGCCGGGATTCCGTAGTGGTTCTATGCATCTGATTGTTAGTCAGACATCAGAAGATTCTATCTCTTTCTCCGGCACGGTGTCTTCGGCGTCAAGATATACATTATCGGAAGAATACACAAAAGAAGAACAGCAATGCACGCCAACCTCGTCATCACTGCCTCGATTTCGATTACATACTGTTCCTTTTCGCATTCTTGTCATTCTTTCTTTATTTGCTATCGTAATCTTGTCTGTTGGCTCCTATTTTTCGTAAGCGTCTCCAAAAAATTATACAAAAATCACAAAACAATATACGGATGTCACGAATAAAATTCAGTATAATCGAAAAAAAATTACGACAGTCGTTAAAGGTCGTGTACGATGTCGTTGATTATCGTGTTTGCGTAAATTGGTTTAAATAAAATACTTATTATTGAACTAGATGGTGGACGAAATCTGAATAACAAAACATTATTATTCTAATAATAGGCAGTGATCAACCGCATATAGACTATTAGAAAGTATCTAATGATGATTTTGAGGTACTTTTGTTGATAAGATGAAAAATACTGCGAAACGACAGAAAAAGGTAGTCATAACAATAATCATTTTTTGCCATTTTTGAATCGTTTACGACCCGTTATATATGACATGGGTAGGTCCAGAAAAAATATGAAAAATATCATTAACTATTGATTCTTGGTTATTATGGACACCCCTTAGTGATAAACAGCAGTACTTATGCAATAAACTTCTTTTAATTTTAATAACACTACTTTTACTGATATAAAAGCATGAAAAGTCGAGCAAAAATTCATTAAATGCAGAGTCCTGTTGATTTAATTACCAAGTGCTGCATATTATTTACTATATAAAAGCTCTTTTGAATGAGCATCCATTTTAAAATACTTAGGCATTACATGCAAGCATTTTCTAAATCGATCTCATATTTCTAATTTGCTAGATTTCAAATGTGAGAAACTCGAATATATAATTAATCCAGCCTTTTCTTATCTTTTATAGGTATGCTTTCATTCTTTGCAATAACGAACAACAAGCATCTAGTGTGATTCAACATGCTGATCAATACTGCATTAATGATCAACCATTACATATTTCCTTGTTTCGGAATAAAAAAACTATCGTATGCAACGATAACTGAACTTATAGTCGATTGATTACGTCGTTGTTTCTTAAAAATATTTATTTTATAATTCAATAATGAACATATATTTTTTTCAAGTTTGTAATAAAATTAGACGAAATGAGGTGCCTATTACAAAACTAGAGTGTGGATGCGGGTGTGTGTGTGAAGATGTGAGTGAATAGAAAAATGACACCCACGCCAGTGATGAGATCGGTTCGTGTTTTTTTGAAACAGAACCGAATCGAACCCAACCGATCGAATTTTTCAAAATTTTGTACCGAACCGATCTCGTCACTGACCCACACCCCACACCAACATCCTTAAAATTACCATGCGTTAATTGTTTTTTTTTTCAAAATAACTAGCTATTTTTGCAGCAAGATTTTTTGATAGTTCAGTTCCAAATGATAGATTTGGTTGGGTTTGTATTGATTGTAATGGTTCAGTTATACGAAAATGATTTTCAACTGATACAATAAATAATATTTCTTTATTTTCAATTAAATTAAGTATTTGCGATAATATTGATGCTAATCAAGTTAAGTCAATAGTTGATTCTATTATATTTGTAATAATTAATAAGTGTATCAGCTTCTTTCGCACAATCTTTTCCTATACGAGTATAAGTTGATACACAGAAGATTATCTTGTCGTAAATGGGCTAATGTACATATGTTCGTTCAACTTGAATCCAGTCTTTATCATCATTCATTTCAATAATACAAAAAAACAAACCAATATATTGTTCTGATTAAATATCATTGTCTGTATCTAAATAATTCGATTGAAGACTAATAATCGCATCATCAATGGTACGAACAAGAAAAGTAAACAATATAATGTTTTTATATATTTCAAAAAGGATAGGTTTAATGTATTGCATTTATAACTGATCATTTTGCACATCTATCAGAGACAAATTTATGTTAAACAAAGCTTCAATGAATATGGGATCGAAGTATAAAAGTTTCACATAAATCATTGGAATAATTAAAGAAATATTCATGTTTCTACTATCGACTGGACTTTTGAAACATCCTAAATTAGAAGAGTACATGTTTAAAATTACATAGATACATGTGTAGCAAGAATAACTAACATATCTCATGCGACTAAACAATAATAATACAACAAATATATTATTCTACATGATTGATGAGTAGAGAGTATTTTCTTAGCCCATCCATCT